ATTTCCTTTATCTATTCCTGACCTCTGGATTTTTAAAGAATAGCTTTCTTCTATGATTCAAAAGTCATTGTTTTTAGCATGCACCAATTAATAGCACGGGCTTTGAAAGCAGGCGGCCCTGAGTTCAGATCCTATGATTTCTCCCCTCTGAGCCTCACCTTAGTCCTCCAAGAAATGGGGATGAGGACGACTGCTTCCCGGGGTGGCCGAGGGGTCAGACGGGATGATGGCACATTTAGAATGGCCAGCTCGGAGCCAGACACACAGTCGACGCCAATACTTTGCACAAGTGACTTCCCTCTTCTGAATGAGGGAACGGCAAAAGCTGGAGTCAAGAGGCCTGAGTTCTGGTCCAGCCTCTTCCACCTAAAGCAAGCCCCACTGCCTCCCCCAGCCTCAGTCTCCCCATCTGCAAAACGGGCTGGCTGGGGGGAGCGCTCTGGGCAAGATGGGGATGATGATATGTTTGCAAAGCTTGGGGTCTGGAGCCAAGCACGGGCTTCCCTCCACGGCATGGTGCGGTCTCCCTCTGATATTTCTGGGACCCATGGGCCAAAGTCACCCTCTGTCAGATTGGTCCGGCCTGCGGGGGGGTTTTAGAAATCTATTTTGAATCTGCGGCCAAAATTTTAAGATCTTGCAGGAAAACTCCTAAACGTGGCTTCTGTTGAAAACATCAGCACATCTGGCCACTCAGGGCCAGCTTCCCACAAGGCTCCCCTGAATTTGATCCGCGCCAGGCCCCAGGAGGCTGGAGAGCATAGACTTTGAGCACAGGCCCTCTTGAAATTCCTCCCAGGAATTTGTACAAGTCCCACCAGAATGCCATGCAATCACAACCACGACGCCTAACATCTCGGAGTAAAAGTACCAGCATGGCACAAAACACTTCGGTCCCTGAACAAGCACGAGCACAGCACCTCCCAGCTGGTGCCAGACACTGCTTTACCAGCATCTACCCCCATTAGAATCCTAGGAAGTGGGAATTGGTTGTCCCCATTTTACAGATGAGGAAACTGAGGCACAGAGAAATTACCTGACTTGTCCAGAGCCCCACAGCTGCTGAGTAGTAGAAGCAGGCCTGAAATCCCCACTTTCCGGTTCCAGAGGTCTAACCACTAGGCAATGCTGCATAACCTCAGTAAATCCGCACCAGGACCTGATCTTGACTTTACAAAGGGGGCACAGAGAGGTCAAGGCACATGCCCAAGGTCACGCTAATCGAAAGGAGCAGATCTGGGGTTCAAATCCAAGTAGGCTGGCTCCACAGCCCCCGTTCCCAACTCCTGAGCTATCCATTAGGTCGACGACCTTGGATGAGCCATTTAGACTGCCTGTGCCTCAGTTTCCTCATCTGTCAAATGGGGCTGCTGTGAACAGGAAGGAGTTAATGTAGGTGCGACGCTGAGAGCAGGGTCTAGCACAGAGTGGGTGTTGCTGCTGTCACATTAATATGATCCGACCCCAGAGCCTGTGCGCTGAAATCGCAGGTCCCAAAATAAGGAAGTTCGAGCAAACTCTGCAAAAGCAAGCCTTTGAGAGGGTCCACTGTCCATAGCCGCCCTGCCACAGCCCATCCCGCCACTACAGGCACCCTGCCAGGTCGCCTACCTCCAGAGGGGTAAAGTCATGGTTGACCAGGAACGCCAGGATGGCCGTGGGAACAACGAGGAACTCCACCCGGAAGGTATCATGGTTCCCATCATAAGTGGCTTTGAACTTGCTGTAAATCATCCAGACTGTGGTGAAGGAGCAGGCGATGTAGACCACCTGTCGAGCGGAATGAGGAGGAGGGCGCTTCTGCTCAGAAAGCGGGGCCTGTGCTCCTAACAGGCGTGGGCCCAAGAGTCCCGGCCCCCAGCCCCTCCTCCCTCTCACCCGCGGGTCCAGCCCCAGCCCCTCCTCCCTCAGACCCGGGAGTCAGGCCCCCTGCCCCTCCTCCCTCAGACCCAGGAGTCCAGCCCCCAGCCCCTCCTCCCTCAGACCCTGGAGTCCAGGCCCTTAGCCCCTCCTCCCTCAGACCCAGGAGTCCATCCCCCAGCCCCTCCTCCCTCAGACCCAGGTATCCGGGCCCCAGCCCCTCCTCCCTCAGACCCGGGAGGCCAGGCCCCCTGCCCCTCCTTCCTCAGACCCCGGGGTCCAGCCCCCCGCCCCTCCTCCCTCAGACCCCGGGGTCCAAGCCCCCGCCCCTCCTCCCTCGCACCCTCCCCTGGCTCTGGGAGCCGGCGGTGGGGTAGAGCGGTACCTTCATGCACGTGTTGTAGAGGGAGATGTAGTTGGTGAAGAGGTCCAGGTAACGGGCAGTGAACACTACAGCAAACAGGACCTGGCTCTTCCCCGAAATCCCTGTGGTCCAGAGAGAGAGACGGGAGGCTGGGGGTGGGCTGCATGGGGAATAAGCCAAGGCCCAGCGCCTAGGACGAATCTGGAGACCACTTTGGAGAGCAGCTGTCCCCAGAGGCCTCCCCAGCCCGCCCGGCCGGAGCAGGGCCCTTTCCCACGGCCCACAGCCAGGGGGCAGCGCGGCCCCGGAGCTACTCCAGCCCGTGGCTCTGTCCCAAGCTAGGCCTCACGGCCACCCACGGTCCCCTCGGGGTCCTCCGACACTCCAGACCCAAAGTGGGGCCTCGGGAGGACCCCACTTAACCTCAGCCCCTCAAAACCGGTTGCTTCCTCTCTGCTCTCTTCCTGGCTGCCACAGTCCACGTCACCAACTCCCAGCCACCTCCCTGCCTGCCACAGCTCCCTGTTCCCAGTCCCGGAACCGGGGGGCCGCCCAGATAGGGGCTGGAGAAGGCTGAATTGGGGGCCTGGAGTCCCCCCCACCAAACTGTATGCACCCCCAGTCTGGGAAAGGGAGCTGACCCCCTGGTGACCCCGGACCTGAAGGGGGATCCCCAGCAAGCAGTGGGAAGAGGGACCTGTCCTCCTAGTGCCTCCAAACCCTTCCCCGAGTCCTGGGATGTCCCCCCTTCTCCCGCCCCGGTGGGCGTCTCACCGGCACACGAGCGGGACTTCCAGATTTTGAGCAGTAGCAAGATGATGGCTAGGAGGTGGGAGAGGTCTCCCAGGAATCGGAAGAGATTCATGGTTGGGGGGCGTCTGGCAGGCTGGGCTGGAGGGAGGCAGGCTGACGGGGGGCTGCCCCCCGCGGCTGCTGTTCTGGCCGGGCGGCTGAGCCGGGGGCGGGAGAGGGGCCCTCAGGTGGGCTCCGCTCCGGGGAGGGGGCTCTGGGAGGGGGAGCCGAGGCCGGAGCTGGCGGCCGAGCAGGAGCTGGGAAGAGGGAGGAGGGCGGGGGGGGAGGGGTCCGGGCCGGGAGGCCCCGCCCCCGGGGGCGGGGTCCCGGCTCTCCGGCGCCCCCTACGCCGCACCTCCCGGCTCGCAGAGTGCGCGCTGAATGCACCCCCAACGCCACCTCCTAGGAACTTGCGGGGTCTCTGGGATTTGAAACTCTCAAGTCCGGCACCTGCTTCCCCAGGCAGTCGGTGCCTCTGGAAGGGTCGCAGCCCAGCCGCCCAGCCTCTGCCCTTGACAGGGATTCAGGCGGCTGGTCTCTGAGCTTTAAAAACTCCAGACAGGGACCCAGAGGCTGGGCTGCCAGCTTCTGTTCCTTTTCAGGGGCCTGCAGCTCCAACCCACCCAAAAGACAAGAAAGCAGCCCCCAGCCCCTCCCTCAGACTCAGGAGCCTAGGCCCCCAGCATCTTCCTCCCCCAGGACCCAGGAGTCTGGAGCCCCATCCTCCTCCCCTCCCAGGACCCAGGAGTCCGGGCCCCCAGCCCCTCCTCCCTCAGACCCTGGTGTCCGGGGCCCCAGCCCTATTCTTTCTCAGAACCAGTAGTCTGGTCCCTTAGCCCATCCTCCCTCAGATGCAGGAGTTCGGGCCCCCTTCCTTGGGACTTAGGGTCCCACCTCAACCATCTTGTGTCTCAAGCATCCTAGCCCCAGGAATCTACATCCACAATCCCTTCCTCTCTCTGGGACCCACAAATTCAGGCCCCAAGTCTCCTGTTTTACAGGAATGTGAGCCTTCACCCTTGCTCTCCCAGACCCTGGCACATGCGCGCCCGCGCGCGCGCGTACACACACACACACGCACCCCCACTCCTGGCCTCCACCCTCCGGAGCCTAGGTGTCCTGCGCCACAGCCCATCCCAGCACGTTACAGAAGTGCTGGGTCCGGCTTCTCTAGGAGGAGGGGCAGGAGCTGGGCAGCTGGTCTTGGGGGACCCTCTAGGGGGTCAGGCTGTGTCTAGGAGGGGGCAGACACTGCTTTCCTCCTGGATGTTTGAGTACCTATGGGTGATGGAGGCCAGGGGCCCTCAATAAAAGAAGGGGTATGGAGGTAGTTTTCCTCAGAGGGCTGGATGGACTGGGTTCCTGAGGGTGACATCCGTGAATCTTGGACTCGTGAGCCCCTGAAGGTGTTTTGTGCTGAGGGGGTCAGGTTGTCTGAGTGTCTAAAAGGAACTCGGGCCTGGACCCCTGGGTCTGAGGGAGGAGGGGCTGGGGCCTGGACTCCTGGGTCTGAAGGAGGAGGGGCTGGGGGCTGGGCTCCTGGGTCTGAGGGAGGAGGGGCTGGGGGCTGGGCTCCTGGGTCTGAGGGAGGAGGGGCCGAGCACCTGGAGTCCTAGGTCTGAGCAAGGAGGGGGCGGGGCCTGGACTCCTGGCTCCTGGGGGAGGAGGGGTCTGGGGATTGAATTTCTGGGTCTGAGGGAGGAGGGGGCTGGGAGCCTGGACTCCTGGCTTCAGGATGGAGACCTAGTTTGCAGGCCTGGCCTTCTAGAGCAATAGAACCCAAAGGATGGGTCCAAGCAAGGGGGAGACCGAAGTCCGGGAATGGCCTCCTGCTTCTTGGCCTCAAAGTCGGGAGGGGGCAGAGGGCAGCACTGCCCCCCCGCACACACACACCCCGCCCCCCGCCCCGCCCTGAAGTCCAGGTCCGAAGCTGATGTCTCAGTGCCGGGTTTTGAGTCCCTACCCGCACCCACCCCCCCCCCACTTCCTTTTTATTTGCAGCCCCTCACTCTCTTGTCCCAGGAGGAGGGCAGAGGCTGGGAGCTGGGGGAGGGGGGTGCAGCCCCCTCCCCCAACCCTGGCAGGAGGAGGGGTCCCCAGGGAGGCCAAGAGGGGGGGCTGTGGGTCTCCCGGCAGGGGCGGACGGGGACTGAATGTTAATCGCATCCCGAGTGAGTGTGTGTGTGCGAGAACAGAGCGAGTGTGCGAGTCCCTCCCGCTCCGGCTTCTCCAAGCCGCGGCTACCGCCGCCACCCTCCGCCCGCAGCCTCCCTCGGTCACCGGTGCCCAGCTGAGGGGTGTCAGCCTGGGTGGGTCCGCCCGGCCCCCAGGGGTCTCTCGTGCGTCTGCCATCTGCCCGGTGAGGATGTGTGTGTCAGGGTGTCTGGGGCTGGGCTGGTGGAGGGGGGGTGTGTCTGTAAGGGCTGCGGCGGCAGAGGGAGGGAGGGGTCTGTCTGTCTGTCTGTACCGCCCCTGAACCGCCTGCCTGGGTGTCGTGGGCCCCCCAATTTCCTCCCCCGGCCCCCCAAACCCGGATGGATGGTGTGTACCTGGGCTCTGTGCCTCCTGCCTGCGTCTGGCCGGGCGTCTGGCGTCCCCGGTTGCCTGTGTCCTCCTGTCTGTCCGAAGCCCCAGACAGCAGTGGCAGCCCGGCTCCCATCGGACCCCCTCTGTGTGCGTGTGTGTGTGTCCGCGTCTCCCTCCTCAAGCTCCGGGGGTGTTGAGGGGGAATCCCAGGGAAGTGAGGTTGTGCGTGTGTGCGTGTGTCTGTGTGTGTTTCTGCCTGTGTTTGAGAGTGAGGGCGCCGAGGAGGGGTCTGGAGGTGGCCAAGCGAGGAAAGGGGCAAGCAGTTCCCCAGGCAGGCAGGCTCCCGCCCTCACACAAACATACACACCAGCCACCGGCTTCAGAGGTGACCCAGACAGACAGACAGACAGACACAGACGCTGGGGGGGGGGGGCGCTGAGGGCACAAAGGGGGGGTGCGAATGAGCCAGAGAGAGGCGGGACCGGACACATGGACAGGGGGGAGGAGCCGGGGATGAAGCGGCAGAGGGGGGCACCCCGGGTGGGCGGAGGGGGGATCCCCACGGGGTCGGGGCGGTGAGAGGACACCCCGACAGCCTCCGCAATGTCCGGGGCCCAACTTCCAGCGCAACATGTGTAGCGGCGTCCTCGCCTAGTCTGGGTGGCCGCAACCTTGGGGGACAGACAGGGCAGGACGGGACGGAAAGAACAGGAGGGAGAGCCGGAGCCAGAGACGGGCAGGAGGTCCCCGCCACCGCCACCACCACCACCACCGCTGCCGCCGCCGCCCCAGGGCCTGGCCCCCACAGCGGCTCCCTGAGCCCTCCGCCAAATCTTCGGGTCGCTGGACTCCGGTTCCAGTCCTGGCCCCCCTGAAATTCCCCCCACAGAACAGGGTCATGAAAAGGTAAGGCCGGGGGTGGGGATGCACGCGTGGGGTGGGGACAGGGACCCCCAGATCTAGGATGGGGAAAGTTGGCCAGGGGCCTCAGGGGAGAAGGGGCATTGAATGGCAAGCAGGGGTCTTGGCCAGCCCGGTTCCCTTGTCTCTTGGGGACTCTCCTCTGCCCCCTCTCTTTCTCCCTCTCCGAGCCCCTTTTTCCTGGGTTTCTACACCTCAGACCTCCTGACACCCCCCCCATTTCTCTGACACTTTTCTCCCTCTCCCCAGCCCCACATACCTGACACCTCATCTCTTTCTCTACCCCCCATCTCTCCATCTCACCTTCCCTCTGCACCCCCCTGCCCACATCAGTCTCCCCCCCTCGCTGGCCCGTCCCTCTCGCTCTCTCCTCTCACTCTCCCCTCCCTTCTCAGTGCTATGAGTCTGCTATTAATACCCCTGCCAAGGACCTTGAGGGCATCCGGGCCCCTGGCACCCCTCACCCCAATCTACCACCCCTTCCTCAAGGTTCTGGAATACCCTTCCAGCCTCGTCTGAGCACCAGGATCAGGGTGGGGAGAGACCGGTGGTGGAGGTGGGGGGGAACGGATGCCGTCTGCAGCACGACACGAGGGGGGGCGGGCTGTTGATCAAAGTGGCCTCTCATCTCTTCTGTGATGGATTTGGGGGGGGAGCGACAGAGACGGGGACACCCCAGGAATCTCTGGCACCCTCCTCCTCCTCAGCTGGGGGACAGGCTGTGCTGTGTACAGGACCTGAGTGGGGCGACTGGGAGGCTGGAGCTGGGGGGTGCCCAGGATGTTGAGACGGATGGGGTTTGAGACAAAAAGGGGGTCCTTAAGGGCAGGGGGCCTGGACTCCTGGTTGCTGGGCATAGAAGGGACTGGGCACCTGGATTCCTGAGTCTAGGGGCAGAACGGGGCCGGGACTCCTGGGTCCTGGGGGAGTCGGGGGCCTAGGGCCAGGATTCTTGAGTCTTTATGGGAGAAGTTGGAGGATAGGGTTTCGGTGTCTGAGAAAGGGGCTGGGGCTCAGTCTCCTGAGTCCCTTACAGGGCAGGGGATGGGGGTCTGGACTCTGGCCCCTTGGGGAGGGAAGTGGGGACTGAGGCTCATGAGGAGGTGGAGATTGGAGGTCTGGACAATGTGATCTCTGAGGGTGTAGGATCTGGCGACTGGGCCTCCAGAGTCCTCCGGCGGCTGGGGGGTGCCCATTCTCGGTCTCTGGACGCCTGGGAGACTGCCCTCTTGAATCCCTCATGGGAGAGGACTAGACATCCAGCCTCCTGGGAAGGGTGGTGCTGGAGATGCCCTCTTGGGCCTCGGCAGGGAGCAGGACCCTGGGGTCCCCAAGGGCAGAGGCCAGGCAGGGGTGGGTCTGAGAGAGGCAGAGGAGGCTGAGGGCTTCCTGCCACCGGGAAGGGAGGAGAGAGCGAGTGTTAACCCCCCGGGGGCCAGGCCACAGCTGTGGGTTATTTTGGGGCAGAAAGGGGGCTATTCTGAGCACTGATTGAGCCAGCTGCTTGGGAAGGGCAGAGAGGAGGAGCGAGGAAGAGCCAGGATTTGGGAGGGATGGGCATGTTAGGAGCCCCCGCCCCCATCCCTGGGGAGACAGTGGCCCAAGATCTCTGGGAAGGTGGGTGGGGGTGACGGGGCAAGGCCTCTAGGCAAGGGAGGAAGTGTGGGCCTTTCCCCCACCCTGGCTGTCTGTGGGGTGGACAAGGCCTGCGCTACCATGGCAACCGGACAGGAGCGTGATTGACAGCCAATAGAGAACCCTTCCCTGTCTGGACCCTCACCCCGTCAGGAAGCCCCTCGTGCAGGCTCTGATCCCTCTCTGGGAACCAGGAGTCCAAGCTCCCTGTGCCCTCCCCACTCAGGCCTAGGAGCCAGGAGTCTGGGCTCCCAGCCCGACCACCCCAGGAAGCTAGTATTCACCAGGGGACACAGGAAGAGACGCTGTATTTCCTCTAATTTACTAAATTGCTCCGGGCTGGGAGCCAGGGACCCCTGCCCCCAGCTCTCCACAGCTGTGCCCCCCAACCCTGCAGCCCAGCCTGGGCCCTGAATCTCTTTCTAGCTGTCGCTGAGAATGGCGAGACAGCGACAGGAGTAAGGGGACCAAAATGGGTTGGGGGTTGTGGTCGGGGTGAGGGGTAAGGTCAGGGGGCATTTTGTCTCTTGGGATACCCACTAATTTCTTTTTCTCTCTCTCTCTCTCTCCCCCCACACACCTGACCCCTTTTCCCCCTCTCATCTTTTTTCTCTCACTTTTACTTCCTATTATTTTTGATCTCTCCTGCCTCTCGCCTTCCCGGCCTTCCTTTCATGTCTGTGCTGGGCACCTCCCTGGTGGGGGTCTTGATCTTCGCCTTTCCTCGCTATTTCTGTCTTCCTATGTTTGCCTGCTCTGCCTGCCTCCTCGCTCCACCTCTAATTCTGCCTGTTTCTCCATCTCTTGTGTGTGTGTGTATCTCTGGGTGGCCGGGGTCTCTGTCTCTGTCTTCCTGGATTTCTTTCCATCTTCATCTCTCTCCAACTTTCTCATCTCTTCTCTCTCTCTCCTTCCTTCATCTATCTCTGCGTCTCTCCCTGCCTCTGTGTCATTCCCTCCCTTATTTCTGTCACTCTGTCTTATCTCTCTCTGCCTCGTCTCCCTGTCTCTGTCACTGAGCTTCTCTGTTTCTCCTTCCATCTCTCTTATTCCTGTTGCTCTCTCCCTGACCATCTCTCTGTTACTGTTTGCATCTTTATTCCTATCTCTCTGGGCCTCTCTCTGCTCCTATTCTGGTCCCATCTCTGTGGTTCTGTTTCCCATCTGTCCTGATTCATTGTCCTCCCCATTCCTACCTTGTCTATCTCTTCCCTACCTCTCTATCTTCTCTATCCCCATACCTCCACTCTCCCTGTCCCTGTGTCTTTCCGTCTCTCCCTTTGCTTCTGTATCTCTCCCTGTCTCTCTGTCTGTCTCTGTGTCTCTCCCTGTCTCTCCCTCTGTCTCTATCGCCCCAACCTTTCCCTCCCCTACCCATCTCTGCGTCTCTCCCTTTCTGTATCTCTTCTCCGTGCGTCTCTTTCTGTATCTTGTCTCCCTGCCTCTGTCTTCCCATCTCTGTGTCTCTCTCTCATTTGTGTCTCCCCGTCTCTGTGTGCCCCTACTCCCCCCGTGACCCTCCCCGGGCCCTGGCGCTCAGAGGCTGCCCGGCGGAGCCCGCAGGCGATGCGCGGCGCCGGTGGCCCCGGCGGCCCTCGGGGCCCCGCTAAGATGCTGCTGCTGCTGGCGCTGGCCTGCGCCAGCCCGTTCCCGGAGGAGGCGCCGGGGCCGGGCGGGGCCGGCGGGCCCGGCGGGGGGCCCGGCGGGGCGCGGCCGCTCAACGTGGCGCTCGTGTTCTCGGGACCCGCGTACGCGACCGAGGCGGCGCGCCTGGGCCCGGCCGTGGCGGCGGCCGTGCGCAGCCCGGGCCTGGACGTGCGGCCGGTGGCGCTGGTGCTCAACGGCTCGGACCCGCGCAGCCTCGTGCTGCAGCTCTGCGACCTGCTGTCGGGGCTGCGCGTGCACGGCGTCGTCTTCGAGGACGACTCGCGCGCGCCCGCCGTCGCGCCCATCCTCGACTTCCTGTCGGCGCAGACCTCGCTGCCCATCGTGGCCGTGCACGGCGGCGCCGCGCTCGTGCTCACGCCCAAGGTGCGCGCGACCTGCGGGCGGGGGCGGGGCCAGCCGCTGGGGGCGGGGTCAGCCCTGAGGGTCCGCATCTGGGACGGGGTGGGGCCAGATGGTAGGGGCGGGGCTGCCTTGGAGGGGCGTGGTCTCCAGGATGAGCGGGGTTTAGGGCGAGGCCAGTCAGTGACGGGATGAGTTAGGGTGAGGGAGGGGACCAGGGACGAGGCAGGGCCTATGCTCTGTACTAAAAGGGCGGGATCTAGAGAGGAAGATGGTCCTGGAGTGGGGTTTGGACAGGGGAAAACCCAGCTGTAAAGCGTGGAAAGCGAGAATCCAGAGGGGGGGCCTGGGATGCTGGAGGCCCAACTTAGAGGCCGGCCCAGCCAATGAGACATCAAAGCCAGGAGCCTGCAGAGGAGTAGGGGCAGAGGCTGGAGCTAGCCTCCCGAGGGCTCGGGAGGGACGAGCTGGAGTGGACTTCTGTTAGCGAAAGGACAGAACTAGACCAAGCCTCGTGTGTGTCTGAGGAGAAGAGGTCAGCTAAGAGGTGATGCCTGAGAAGGGGCGGGGCCTAATCAGGGGTGAAGCCAGTGTAACCAAGTTGGGACTCGATGGAGGCCGGGCCCACCTGAGTGGGTGGAACCTAAGTCTCCACCAATTCCCTGCTGGGAGGGCCGGTGGTTTTGTGACTACATCACTATTGCATGCTGGGACTCGTAGTAGTTCTCTCCTGTCCAGGGCATTCTGGGAAGGGCTTCTGGCCAACTTGCTTCATCTCTTTGGCGTGTTGTCCAGAGATTTGTAGGCAGATCACCTGCAAAGTGAACGTATCACTTCCTGGCTGCCACCTCCATGGCATATGGAGTGATGCGGTCTCTCTTGCCACATTGCTGCTGAGAAGTGTGGGCTGCTCTATTTATTGTCTGAGGGACACTGTGACTCGCTCGGTGTACACCGTTGCCCTCTGGGAAATGTAGTCCTCTCAGTGTCTGGCTGGAAGAAAGAGTGGTCCTCACAGCTCCATCTGTGCCCCCACTGAATCCTGGGAACGTGGTCCTCTCAGCTCACCTCCATCTGCCAAGGGTGAGGTCCTCTCAGCATTCTCATTGCATGCTGGGAGACCTCATCCCCTACACATATAACCACAGGCACTCGCCTAGGGAGAAAGTCCACTTGCTCTTCTCATGGCATTACCGGAAGATTTACTGAGGGCTGATTCTATGCCAAGGCTTTTTTAGGTTCTAGGGAATACAGTTGTGAAAGGAGAAAAAAAAAGTCCCTGCTCTTATGGAGCTTGCATTCTAACAGAGAACAGACAAAACGAATAACAGTGAAATCTGTCCTGGAGGAAAGTTAATGATCGAGGATGGGGTGTCAATAGATGGCAATCAGGGGAGGCCTCCCTGAGAAGGTGACAACTAAGCCAGACCTGGGGACTGAGGAGGGCTGGGTCCAGCATGGAGGAGCCGGGGAAAAGTGTCCCCAGGAGAGGCACCAGCGAAGGGCAAAGCCCCTGAAGCTAGAAGGAACTTGATGAGTTTGAGGAAGAGCAAAGAGGTGGGGGTGGCGGGAGATGAGGTCAGAGAGGCAATGGGGGCCAGTTCGTGCAGGGCCTTGTGGGCCACAGCAAGGACTTTGACTTTGACTCTAAGGCAGAATTGTTGGAAGGTTTTCAACCAAGAAGGGATGCGATCCAATTAATTTTTTGAAAAGATCACTCTGGCTGCTGTCTGGAGAATGGACTGGAAGATGCGAGAAGGGAAACAGAGATGGGTTAGGAAGGTGTTGTAGTTGTCTAGGCAAGAAAGTGGGGACAAGGAGGGTTGTGACGGGGGCAGGAGTGAGGAGTGGAAGACTCGGGTCATGTTATGAACAGAGAGCCGAGAAGTCCTGGAGATGGCCTGGATGTGGGCATGAGGGGAAGAGAGGGAAAGGATGATTCAGCTTTGGGACCTGTGCATCTGGGTGAATAAGAAAAAAAGGACAGGGAGCAGGTTTGAGGCAGGGAAAAGACTGAGAATTCTGCTTTTGACATGCTAATTTTGAGATGCTTCTTGGAAATCCAAGGGGAGCTGTTGAGTAGAAAGGGGAATAGGTTTGTCCAGAGCTTACAAAAGAGGTGGTGACAGGCTAGGAGCCATCAACATGTCCAGCGCTGTCCAATAGAACTTTCTGCAATGATGAAGATGATTTATATCTGCTCTGTCCAGTATGACAGCCACTAGCCACGGGTGGCTGTTGAGCACTTTAACATGTGCTGAGGGCAACTAAATTTTATTTAATTCCAACTAATTTAAATCTGAATAGCCATGGGTGGCTAGCAGCTACTATACTAGGTAGCGCGGGAGACAGTATTTAAACCCATGGATCTGGATGAGACCATCAGGGAGTGGGGACAGAGAAGAGAACACTAAGGCACTCCTACATTTAGAATTCTGACTGAGGAAGAGCGTCCAGCAAAGGAAACAGAGAAGGAGGGGCCAGGGAGGTAGGAGGAAAACCAGACAAGGGCAAGTCCGCTCAGCAAAGCCTCACCCAGGTGGGAGAGACACTACCTTCAGCACCCTCATTGCATGCTGGGAGATGTAGTCCCTCTCAGTGGATGCTGGGAACTGTAGTTCCCTCACTGGATGCAGGGTGTATTCATTACAGTAATGTTAGCTAGCTACTGTAACAGATAAACCCCCACATCTCAGTGGCTCAACGCAGTAGAAGGTTGTTTCTCACTCATATGAAATCCAAACAGATGTTCCTAATTGGAGGTGGCTTCCCTCCAAGTGGTGACTCAGGAACTCCAGCTTCTCCCTCTGGTGGCTCTGTAATCCCCTAGGACTTCAGAGTTCTCTTCTGGGGCCTCTGGCTCTGCCATCAGACAGGGAAGAGAGTAGGGTGCATGGGAGAGAGTTTTTACAGATGAGCCTAGGACTCAGTCAAGTGGCTCAACCTAACCCAGAGCTAGTTCTGTGTCCCAGCAGGAAGAGGAGATGAGTTTGGTGAACAGCTAGTCAACCTGCCATATTGAGAGCTGAGGCCGCCAGGGGCCGCTGGGAGTGGTGGTGCCCTTATCACTTGCTGGGAGATGAGTTCCCCTCTACACCACTGGGAGCTGTGGTCCCCTCGCTGACTGCTGAAGGTCGCTTATCGACCACTGGGAGACCACTGTGGTCTCCCCATGGGGAGACCTGACATCCTCTCCCTCCCTCCATCCCTCGCAGGAGAAGGGCTCCACCTTCCTGCAGCTGGGCTCATCCACAGAGCAGCAGCTCCAGGTCATCTTTGAGGTGCTGGAGGAGTACGACTGGACGTCCTTTGTCGCCGTGACCACACGTGCCCCGGGCCACCGGGCCTTCCTGTCCTACATCGAGGTGCTGACTGATGGCAGCCTGGTGGGCTGGGAGCACCGCGGGGCGCTGACGCTGGATCCTGGGGCGGGCGAGGCCGTGCTGGGTGCCCAGCTCCGCAGCGTCAATGCACAGATCCGCCTGCTCTTCTGTGCCCGTGAGGAGGCTGAGCCCGTGTTCCGGGCAGCCGAGGAGGCTGGCCTCACCGGGCCTGGCTACGTCTGGTTCATGGTGGGGCCCCAGCTGGCTGGAGGTGGGGGCTCAGGCGCCCCTGGGGAGCCTCCTCTTCTGCCAGGAGGCGCCCCCCTGCCTGCTGGACTGTTTGCGGTGCGCTCAGCTGGCTGGCGGGATGACCTGGCCCGGCGTGTGGCAGCTGGCGTGGCCGTAGTGGCCAGAGGTGCCCAGGCCCTTCTGCGTGACTATGGCTTCCTGCCAGAGCTCGGCCACGACTGTCGCGCCCAGAACCGCACCCACCGAGGAGAAAGTCTACATAGGTGAGTGGGACTGGGGTGGGAGGGCTGTCGGAAGGTTCCAGAGCCCGATGACCTTGGGTACTCACGTGCTGAGTGGCCACAAATGGGTCCCATCCGCTCGGAGCTTCAGTTTGCTTTTCTGTAAAAAGGGTGTAATTGGGTCTCCTTTCTGGGGTTAAATCAGGTCATTTGGAAAAAGCATCTGAGACAGTGACTGCGGCGTTACTCTGTTTCATGATTCTGAGATGCAGATTTTTTTCAGTTTAATGTCTTTAAAATCAAGATGTGTCTTACGACTGATGGCTCCTCGTGGTTTAATTGGCAGCGCTTTTTTCTTTGTGGTACATAAAAATGGAGATACATCTTAGAGTTGACAGCACCTTAGAGTCCATGAAATACCCTAGTTGGGGGTATGAACTGAACATCAGTAACAAAAAGACCCAACAACCCAGTGGCCCGAAATTCGGTCGTGGGCACGTCGGAATTCCAGCTCGTGAGAAGGGGAAAGAGAGAAAGCGGAGAGCTAGCAATTCCCTTTTGAGCAAATAAGGTGGAAGGAACCAGACTTACACCCCATTGGTGAGAACGTAGTCATGTGGTCAGAGCTGTCTGATTGGTTGTTTACAGGGGTGTCCGTACAGATTGGTTAGACAGCGATTCTGATTGGCTAGTGCTTGTGCTGCCCGGATGGTTAGATATTTTGAACGTCACCCCTGCACGTGGCCTGGGCTAGCTGCAAGGAAGACGAGGAAATGTCAGCTCTACCTGGGCAGGTGTGCGCCCAGCATCCGTGCTGTTGTTTTGGAAGAAGAGCGGTTTGGTGGAAAACAGCATCTCCACCATGGGAAGCTTTGGGAGTGAGAAGCGGATGAGTCTGGGGACAGAACAGTGGAAGGAGAGGGCTGTAATCCCGAAATGAGCCTGGGAAGAGGGGCTGGGTGCGGAAGAAAACCTAAGGGAGGAGGTTGGAGAACTGGTGAGTGGAGACGCAGGATCCAGGGACACGAGGGTGCGAAAATGATGCCTCGTTCATGAATACTTACTGAGCACCTGCTAGGAACTAGGGCTCCTGCTGGGCGCTGGGAGCACAGAGATGAATAAGACCACGGACTTCTCTTCAAAGAACGCAGGGTCCTGTAGGGGCGGCAGACAGGGATGGGGATAATGACAGCACAGCGTGATGCTTGCAATACTGGAGGCAGCATGGGCGTTTTGGGAGTGCCAGGAGGAATACTGTCTAAGCCAGAAAACCAACATTTTTGGTTGCAAGAAGCAGCGTCTCATTCAAGTTTCCTCAGGGAAAAGGGGGTTTATTGGAAAAATAAACAAGCACAGAAACCCAGACATCAGGAATTGAAGCCAAGCCTGGGGACCAGCTATTCCTTCATCTCTTTCTGATTCTGTCTCTTTCTTACTCTCTCCGCCCCTGTCTCTCTCTGCTTTTCTGCCTCTCTCTCCCTCCCTCCCTCTCTCTCTCTCTCTCTCTGTCTCTCAGGCTTGCCACTCCAACAGGCTATCCAGTTCTTCTCTTCCCACCGCTTACCCAGCATCTCTGCTCCCTCATGATATGCATCATTTCAGCCCATGCCGTTCCCCACCCATCCCTCCAAACCTCACAGCTAAGGCCTCCCAGGGGAGGAATTTTATTGGCCCCAACCAGCCTTCCAAACTAGGCTACACAAGTCATGGGTCAGCCTATGGAGTCAGGGAGATTTCCAGGAGGAGGAGATAGCTAAGCTGAGACCTGAAGGATGAGTTGCTCATTCATTCATTCATTGAAAAGCCCTATATGGAGGGTCTCCTATGTGCCCAGCACTGCTTTTCTATATAGTGTTGAATAAGGTGTCTGCTCTCACAGAGCTTACAGTCTCATAGGGGAGACAAGCAGTGAACAAGCCAAAAAAGAAAGATGAAAATATCAGCAAGCAATAACTTCTGAGATGAAATTGAAACAAGTGGAATGTGATGAGAAATGCCTAGGGTGCTAGGTCAGGCGGGGTCGTCAGGAAAGGCCTTTCTGACTAGGTGGAATGTGAAGGCAAAAGATGGATAAAGAGAAAGAATCGTCTACTGGAAGATCTGAGTGAAGAGAAGAGAGAGGGACCAGCTGGTGCAAAGGCCCTGGGGCTGGAAATGCCTGCTTGGGAGCCTGAAATAAAGCCAGTGTGGCTGGCGCACAGTGGGCAAGTGGGAGGAGCTGTGATGAGGGGATGGAGAAACTCACAGGGCCCAGCTCGTGTAGGGCATTGAGGCCAGGTTGGGGATTTAGATTTGATTCTAAGAGTGGCTGGGAATTTACCAGAAATAGAGGGTATTCTAGGCAGGAGGAACAGCACAGTGCAGAGGCCTGGGGGGGGGGGGGGGGGGGAACTTGGGCAGGTTGATGGGACCACCATAGCTCAGGGTGGATGGAGGGAGGAGAATTGGGGGTCGGGGGTGATGAGGCTGGGGAGGTAGACGGGGCCAGGTCACAAGGGCCTTGAACACCAGCTGGAGGGGCTTGCACTTGGTTCTGGGGCACTGGGGAGCCATGGGTGGGTTATGAGCAGGGAAGAGATGGAGTCAGTTTTGGGTATAGAAAGACCCCTCTGGGGCAGAGTGGGGAACAGACAAGAGAAGGGAGATTGGAGGCTGGAAGTGAGGCAGGAGGCTGGGCTGGGGGTCCAGGAGGGCTTCAGGGACAGAGAGGAGGGCATAGGGCAGAGAGATTCCAGGGACAAGAAGGATGGGGCTTGGGGACTGATGGCCTGGGCGGGCGGAAGAAGTGAGGGGGTGAGGACCCAGCTGAGGGTCTGGCCCTGTGACCAGGGCAATGCAACAGGCATTCAGAGCAGAGGGTGCCATTGCATAGTGAAGATATCTGTGGGTCCAGAGACCTTCCAGGGGCCTCTCCCAGAGGAACGGACGCTTGAGTGGAGTCTTGAAGAAAAGAATTGATCAGGATGAGAAGGGACAGAATTAGGGTTTTCCAGGCAGAGAGAACGGCATCTACAAGGGCCTGGAGATAGGAAACCACTTGATAGTTTGCGTTCAGTGTCGGCGGGGCACAAAAAGGGTTTGGGGTGGAAAGTTTAAAAGCAGGAAGGCATCAGAGATGGGGCTGCAGAGGCGGGCGGGGCCAGAACACGCGGCCAAGGTCCGGAACCCTGTCCTGTGGGTGCTGGACAGCCAGGGGAGAGTGCTGAGCAGAGAAGAGGCATATTTGGGTTTTCAAGATCTTGGAGGAGAGAGTCCAGCGGCGGGCTGGGGCTGGTCCGTAGAAAGGGGACTTTCTCTGCCTTCAGCGGTGCAGGTCCTGGCCAGGTCCCCACACTCCCCTCCCTTCCTCCTGGGCAGGTACTTCATGAATATTACCTGGGATAACCGCGATTACTCCTTCAATGAGGATGGCTTCCTGGTGAACCCCTCCCTAGTGGTCATCTCTCTCACCAGAGACAGGACATGGGAGGTGGTGAGTCCCAGCCCCAAGCTCAAGCATGGGAAAGGGCGTGGACTCCTGGGTCCTGGGGAAGAGGGTGTGAGGACCCAGACTCCTGGGTCGTGGAAGAGATGCGAGCTGAAGTCCTCGACTCTGGCCTCTGAAGGAGGAAGGGGCTGGGAGCCTGGACTTCTAGGAAGTGGGGGAAAGAACAGGGATCCCAAAACCCTGGGTCCTAGGGGAGGGAAGGAGATGGGGTCCAAACTCCTGGATCTGAGGAAGAAGGAGCTGGGAGCCCAGGCTCTGAGGAAGGAGGGCCATGAAGGCCAGGACACCCTGGAAAGCCCCCCAGGAAGCCTGAAGCCCTTCTCTTGGCCAAGGTGGGCAGCTGGGAGGAGCAGACTCTCCGCCTCAAGTACCCGCTGTGGTCCCGCTACGGCCGCTTCCTGCAGCCAGTGGATGACACACAGCACCTCACGGTGGCCACGCTGGAGGAGAGGCCCTTTGTCATCGTGGAGCCCGCCGACCCCATCAGCGGCACTTGCATCCGAGACTCCGTCCCCTGCCGGAGCCAGCTCAACCGCACCCACAGGTGACAGCCCAGGATCCAGGAGTTCCAGCTTCAAAATCCTTCTCCCTTGAAGCCCAGTAGTCCTGGACCCAGCCCCCTCCTCCCTTGGGACCCAGGACCCACAAAGCCCTCCAGCTCGGTGACCTTGGACAAGTCCCCTAACTCCTTTGAGTCTCAGTGTTCCCAGAAAGCGCTAGCCATAGTTTTAGCTGCTGCTTGTCCCTCCCTCCACAAGGCGGGGGGTCCTCAACGTCCCCAAGCCTCCTCGCTCCCCGCAGCCCTCCGCCGGACGCCCCCCGCCCAGAGAAGCGGTGCTGCAAGGGCTTCTGCATCGATATTCTGAAGCGGCTGGCGCAGACCATCGGCTTCAGCTACGACCTCTACCTGGTCACCAACGGCAAGCACGGGAAGAAGATCGATGGCGTCTGGAACGGCATGATCGGGGAGGTGAGGCGGCGGGGCCAGGCGGGAGGCGGGGCCGGGACGGCTGGGGGCGTGGCCAGGGCGGGGCGGGGCCGGGGCGCGCGGGGGGCGTGGCATCTTCTGAGCCAGGGGGCGGAGCCAAGAGGCGGGGACGCCGGTCCAGAGGGGGCGGGGCCACGAAGGGAGCTCTCTGGGGCGAGGCCAAAAGGAGGGAACGCCTAGATTTGACGGGGCGGGGCCACGAGAAGGCCCCACCTTGGCGGAGGGGCGGGGCCAGGAGGAGGGACCTTTGGGGCGGAGGAGGCGGGGCTAAGAGGGGGAAACTCCTAGGAGGAGGGGGCGGGGCCGGGAGGACGGTGCCCAAAACCTCCAGAGGGTTTGGTAGGGGAGCAGGATGCGACTGGGGGCCACCTCTTCCCACTCCTGTTCCCCGACTCCCTCCTCCACCTTTCCTGCCCCACTCTGCGTCCCCCTCATCCACCCACCACCCTCCTAGCCCTCCCTCTCACCCTGTCACTGGTCTCCCGGCCCCTTCAGCCTCTTGCGCCTGAGCCAGCCTGGTCCCCTCACCCAATCCTCGCTCTCCCCCCAGGTGTTCTACCAGCGCGCGGACATGGCCATCGGCTCCCTCACCATCAACGAGGAGCGGTCCGAGATCGTGGACTTCTCCGTCCCCTTCGTGGAGACGGGCATCAGCGTCATGGTGGCCCGCAGCAACGGCACTGTGTCCCCCTCAGCCTTCCTCGGTGAGCCTGGGCCCTGGGCTGGGGAGCTGAGTGCCGGACTTGGCCACCCACTTCTGCAAAAAATGGCCATGAAAACCCTATGAATAGCAGCAGAGTATTGTCTGATGTAGGATGGGAAGGGGAGAGGATGGCACAGAAATACCAGGCAGGGCTCCACTGGGACGCTAGGAGTCAGAATCCACTCGAGGACAGTAACAACAACAAGGAAGCCTGAGTTTCAGGAGGCTTCTCTTAGCCTCTTGGCTCTGTACCTGGTTTTGTATTCATAATTTTGTATTATTTTTTCTTAAAGAGAAGCCTCCAAATTGTATAAGCTTCGGGCCCCACAAACCCCGTGTCTTCCCCTGTATATAAGGATGAGATGAGGAAAGGAGATTAGCGTGGTCCTGGCACATGTTAATTCACCCATCAACAGTGTTTACTGAGCATCTCCTGCGTGCCCAGCTCTGAGCCGCGCACCAAGCCTTGTCCCCTATGAGCTCTTGGCCTCATGGGGGAGACAGAAAATAAACTCCCAAAGGGATCCATGGACAGGATCACTTCAGATGGTGGTGAGGGCTACGAGACATTAAGCCAGGGTGAACAGATGGGGAGGAATAGGACTGATGCTGCCATGAGTGGGCAGGAGGCCCTTTTGAGGGGGTGACCTAGTCCTGGGTAGATCTGGCTGGAAAAGCATTCCAGGCAGATGGAACAGCAAGGGCAAAGGCCCCAAGGTGGGAATGTGCATAGAGTATTTGTGAAATTGCGGGAGGCCTCTGTGGCTGGAGAGGAGCAGTGAGTGAGAGAAATGGAAAGTGAGGGTGGGGAGGAAACAGGGCAGATGGCACAGGGCCTTGGAAGCGATGGTAGGAAGGCTGGGTTTTTCTCTTCTTGTAATGGCAGGGGTTTTAACTCCAGATAGTGGTGTAGGGATATACAATCAGATTTAGGCTTTTAAAATACCCCACGGGCAGGCTCTGAGGAGCAGGGGACTCATGAGGAGCCTACTGTAGAGGTCTGTGCAGAGAGGATGGGGTGTGGAATTGGAAGACGGCAGTGAGGGTGAGACAAGAAGCCTGACTTGGGATGTGGTTAGAAAGCTGACACCAAGGGCCGGCCCCATGGTGTAGCAGTAAAGTTTGGGATGCTCTGCTTTGGCAGAGGGCATCCCACATACAAAATAGAGGAAGATTGGCATGGATGTTAGCTTAGGGCCAACCTTCCTCCACAAAAAAAAAAAAAAAAAAAAGGAAGCTAACACCCAGATGGGTTGATGGCTTTGAGGTGGTTTGGACTAGGATAAAGACCTCATTTACTAAGCTTAGAGAAGACAGGAGAAATGTCCATTGGGCCAAGGACAGCAGTTCTGTCAGGTCCCTCTTGTTCTCTGAAGTCTGGGCAAAGCTCCTGGGAGGGGGAGGGGCTGGGAGAAGGGACATCCCTTCCTTTGTATTTGACTTTCTGTCTACGTCCCCAACGATGTCTCTTGTGGCCTCCTCTTTGCACCAAGGTCTCTGCAGGGCACTCTGAGATGCACCACGTGGGGCCCCTGCCTCCTGCAGGGGAGTGACAAGGTCATATTTATGCCCCATCACGTTGCCCAGCGGAGACGACAGGCGTGTCCCCAGATGCCGCAGTGACAGTCCGGGGTGGTGACAGGGGCAGTCCTGGCCGCTTGCTCTTGTCTCAGGGAGGTCAAATCACCCAGGACTCCAGGAAATGGTGATGTGGTGTTATTGTCAGTGAACTCCTGGAGGCAGTGTGAGGAGGGGACACGTGAGCTTGAGTTTGTCTGATGGACAGGTCAGGGTAGCACCTCTGGCAGGCATCTGTGAGACAGGGGCAGCGAGAGTGCGGCTCGTTCAGGGAACTGTGAGTTCTGGGTCGTTACAGCAGTGGGATCCTAAGAGAGTGATCAGGCCCGAGAGGAGGGCAGGAGTAAGACTGAGGGGCGAGGATTTCGTCCTGGGGGTGCAGGGGAGCCGCAGAGCACTGTGAGCCAGGTCATCTCCGGGTGCAGAAAGAACCTCTAGGGCCATGGGGATGAGCTGGAGAAAAGAGGCTGGGGAGATGGTCCCAGGGAGAGAACGAGGCCTGAGCTGGGCTGGCCACAAGAAGGGAGAGGAAAGGCCGAAGTGGGGGAGGACGGGGACAGGAGGACGGGGCGGGGACTGACAGGCTGTGGCTGGTGAGGGAGAGAGAGGGAGGGGGTGAGGATAGCAAATGGGGGGGTTTGGGTTATGATGGGCTGGATGGTGGGGCTCCCAGGATTGGGAGCCTGGGGGTTGGTGCTGGGCTCAGTGTGGGACATGAATGGCCTGGGGTAATGGGGGGGCAGGAGGACATGGAGACTCGGGGCTGGGGTTCAGGAAGCATATTTAGGAGACAGTTTATATTTGGCTGTTGAAACCATAGAAACGGTTGAGATGGCTGTCTTTGAGAGAGAGACTGTTTCCCGGGGGTCTGGGTGGGCAGTGAGGCTGTCCCCAAGATGGGGAACCTGGGAAGGGGACAGAGTAGGACAGAGTCGGATCCCGGCTGCGCCTTGTGCACATATCTGTGCACCCCCCCCCCCCCCCCCCCCCCCCCCC